GAATATTGCAAAGCAACTCCGCTTATTTGGCAAATAGAATGTGCTGATATATTCACATAATAAAAAAAAGAAAAAAAACTGTGATCACATGTAATGCACAATACGTACAAATCATAACCTACATTACCCTCTGTGCATCACATGTGATACAAAGGTGATAATATATATATATATATATATATATATATATATATATATATATATATATATATATACACTAGCAGCATGGCCCGGCGTTGCCTGTGCTTGATTAAAAAATCATACGACTCATACAGCAATCGCTATCACTTAAAATATTTTTGCCCTTTCTTGCCTTTGAAAGGAGTGCCCTTTGCCGTGCTGATGTTGCTACATGCCTTACTTCTTGCCTATCTCACACTGCGAATTTTTTCTAAGCTCTATACGAAACATTAAATCTGTTACGAAAAAAGAACTAAACAAAATGAACACAAAACGATCAGCTTTAAAAAAGAACTCGTAACTGGAAAAACCGAATGAAAAGAGAATGTTAACAACAAATACTTTTTCACACCCAACCCAGTTCTGCGGAATCAGAATCTACGTTGAGTTTAAGCAAGCGAATGAGCCAATTGGAGTAATGTGCCAAGCAGATTTAAATTTTTCCCACTTTCTGACGAATGCAGCTATCGATTTTTTGCATGCTAGCATGCTAGTTAATATTCGTGTCAGTCAGCTGTTGGCTCTTACGCTGGCCAATAGAATCTTCCTGCCTATTCGTGGCAGCCAGCTATAGTGTCTCACTTTGGTCAGTATAAAATGGCCGCAAACTACATGAAAACTGCCGTAGATGCATGAAAAAAATCGATTATTTCCACTATCGATGGGAGTTGGGAAATACAAAGTCGGTCTTGGCCTTCCCGCTAACTTGGAGCATGTGCATGTAAATTTTGGTGCAATTCCGTCGAAAATTGTGGCCACGCATTCACACACACACACACACACACACACACACACACACACACACACACACACACACACACACACGTCCTGCCTTTTATAGATAGAGATAACAGACAATGTCAGTCTACGTGAAACTTTTTCACTCGAGTTCCACCCAATCCATTTTGACCAAACTTGGCACATACATTGTACTATGTAAGAGATAGGTTCATAGCGTAAAAAATCGATAATTTTAAAAACATCAATAATCGTTAAAGCTGATCAGTAATCGATGAATTCAACTTTTTCCTCCGATTTCGTTCAAACTCGGTATGTAGGATACTTACATCATGACGAGCTCAACGTTACCTCGTTTTTATTTTTACGCCACTCCGTTGAGCGAAAACCGAAGAATCGATTTCAGCACAAATCGGTCATTTTAAACTAATGTGACGTCGTCCCCTGGTCGCAGCGCCAACTGTGACGTCCTATCCTGGTCTACCACGGCACCAACTGTGACGTCCTCGCTGCGGCGCCAGCTGTTCGCTCCTCGCTGCTTCGTTCGGGTGTCTCCGCTTCAAACGTGACGTCCGCCTGTCGCGTCAGTCGTGTTGTCTCGTACTGTGACGACCAACTGGCTTGGTATCGGTCGCGGCACCCAAATGTGACGTTCTAACCTTTTGGTGATTCGGGTGGGAATCTGGTTAGATTTGATATCAGCCTCGTCGTTCCCAACTCGCTTCCAACGTCTGGTTACCAAGGTAACTGCATTGATCTCCAGTCTGCCTACCCACGTTGTGAATTGATCTTAGACAGACGAGATCAATCAGTAGTTGGGGCCGTAATGCAAGTTGAGTTCAACGGGGGTGACACCACACAAATATGCATAAAAGAAAATAAAATGAAAACTCAAAAGTTCAAGGTATCAAAGAAAAAGATAACAAACTTTATGTCTAGTTGTTCGATACATAGGAATGTGTCTATCTCCCGACCCGTTCTATGGATTGTGACACGTTGTTTTCCGTTAGGCGAGTTTTATCACTTCAAGTTGTTTGCTCTGTAAGAAATTGGTTTTTCGGTGTGTCTTCGGGTGAAAGTCGAAAAAAAACTTATTTTGGTGGTCTGGATCTAAGTCGCTCTTCAAAATAATTGTTCTTGGGTTGAAGAGGAGGCCGGAATGTGCGTGAATCTTGGTCAGCTATCTGCGAGGCGGAAGTCTCTCGAACCGAACTGGAACTCAACTCTGCTGAACTGGAACTCAAACTCTGCCGAACTGAAACTGCTCGCTACGACTTCGCCTATATGGACGCCGACCAAAACCGGGGTGGGTTTGTCGGCGTCGGGGGTTCCTTGATAATTCTAAATACATATCCACCTCTTTTATTTCTGGTTAGGAATATTCCACTCTTTTCCATTTTTGGGAGCCTTTTCTTACTCCCACCTTCTCACCATACTTCAGAGGGGCGTGAGCTGCCCTCCCCACTTCTTCGTAGCAGCTTCTCATACCTATCCTCTGGATGGGCGGCGACAGCCTCCTTCGTGCGTCACGTGATCACCACTCGACCAATTATGTCTCAGTCGGGCGTGGACGAATCTGCGGCTTTGTTTCAGGAAAAAAATATCTTGCTTAACTAAAAAAAAATTTATCTTTTCTTTTCCTTTTCTTCCTCTTAATCGCAGTTATCATTTTCTCTAGCCGCAAACAGTACAATATGAACGACGGTGGTCATTACTCTTGTTCTACAGCTGGGCTTCGTCAGCCATCTTATCGCTAATTATCAGAACGGGTGGCCTTCTTAACACGGCCAGGCGTCGCCCCGAAAAGAAACATTTCTAAGTTCCCATTCATTTCCTTTCGGTACACATTTCTGATAACATAATTTTATTATCCCAGGCTAAAGATGTTCCGTCGAAAGAAATCGGTCAGTGGACATATCGTGTGCGGCTTTTAATTTTTCATATCTATCCAAAGCCCTTTAGTCCACCTGTTTTTCGTCACTTATCGAAATAACATTTTCATTTGGATTTTTCTTTGGCCAGTCGGCCAGCAGTTTGTTTGCGTATCCCAGATAACACAGCTGTCGCCAAAACACACCCGATTCCTTTATCCACTCAGAATTTCCCTGTCATTGTAATGACACTCTTTCGCCATTTGTTACTTATCAAAATATCCTTTATCCATTGTCTCTTAGCCGTGGTGTTCTGCTTATCATCCACGCTTTGGGTCTTAGCCTCTCCTTTCCTTCTTTTCTTTCTTTTTTTTTCTGCCTCGGTAAATGGTGCCACACTAAACCCCCCACTCAATGTTCAAGCAGTCTAATACAAACTTGAGTCAATTGTAGCCAACGATAAGTTGATTGTTTAACAGTCATTTAACATGATAATTGTGTCCACCCATATAGTGAAAACTCACGTAAATAGGGAAAAATGGCGGTTTTTACTGATTTCTTTCTTTCAACAAATTGTCATCAAACTTAACAATTGCTTTATAAATGTATCCTCTTTTACATCCCTGGTAGCTCACTGACAAAATGAATTTCAAAAACTCCAAAATAATTGTGATCTGAAGTGGGTCTTCATTTTGTCTGTTTTACCCCTTCCTGTCCTCGGCTAATTTCGATTGAATAAATACGGATTACTTTCGTTATATCAGTAACTGCATTAATTCAAAATGTTTTTTTAATGAAAGTACTTTAAAGTAATTGAAGAAATTTGTTACATCTAAACATGATGCTGTTTTTGCTCCATTCTATTTGAACGTTTTTTCTGATTGACCAGTTAGGTATGGATGGTAGTCATTTCAATAAAGGGGAAAATAAAGAAAATAAACCTTACATTATCAGTGAAGCGTTAAATTAGATGAGACCTTTCTTCAGACGTACCTGCTTAAGCTTCCGTGTTTTTACCACACTTTTAAAATAATGGTTCGTGTGCACCCCATATGATGCACGGACGTGGAAATCACATGTCCTGTGCATTTCGTGCAAACTACAGGCAAAGAGTTAAAACGAATGAACTTTTTTAAAGAAATATTTTGGACTGATAGTTATGCGCAAGACGTTTTTTTTTTGGTTTTTGAGAAAAATCCAATAACGAAAAAACAAAAAGGATCAATAAATATTCTGAGGCTTGTGACAATTTCGAGACTTTTATTTAAAATGAAAACTGAAAATTAAAGAATTGATATAAAGAATACACTTGAATTCATGAAGTCTAGAAACCAGCGCATGCAGCTCCTCGGAGTAATTACCATGAAAGAATTTGTAAAAAAGACAGAGAGAGGCGACGGCACGTCTGTGAGAGAGCGACTGAAGACGATATGCCAGATTATGGCCAGTTACATTGCATATCCGTCTCTGGATCTTATCAAGAACCCCGAAGCAAACAGAAGGGGCTCCAGACCATATATGGCAGCAATACTCCATGCAAGGGCAAATGGTTGATTTGTAGATTTGAAGGATCGATTCCGGGAGAAAAATTTCCCCATGCGGCACAGGGAACCAACTTTCCTTGCGGTGGACGAAGAAATTGACTCAATGTATTTGTTCCATCTTAGATCAGCAGTCAACGTGAGACCGAGCAGCCGCTGAGAGGTGCTCTCGGGAAGTTGAGCGTCAGACATTCTAATGGAAGACAGGGAAGGGTCTCTGTGGTGATTAATAGAGAGCAGTTTCGTTTTTGAGGCGTTAAAGTTAACCAGCCAATTCCTGCGCCAGTTCACAACCGATTGGAGGTCCTTTTCGAGACGAACGGCCAGCTTGGGGTGAAATGATTTAAAAAAAAAGTAAAGAAAAAAGAAAATGACCAAATATTTGGTTAAAGGAATGAATAAATTGAAATAAAATCTGATGGTCTTTACAGATAGATACTCACTGCCGGCCAATATACGATTGCAAACGGAGAGAAAACAGACACGTGTAAAGACCTGAGGTGAAGTGGCATGTATCAATGGAAGAGAATATAGCAATCTGCTGCGATCAATCATTCTTAGTCTTGTTTAAAATTGATAAATGAAATATTCATTGCGGCTCATGAATTATGCGGCAGTGTATTATCGCCATTGCTGTTTCAATTACTATGTTCCGTTGAGTGTAGTCTCCATGGAAATTGGGATCACTTCAACAACAAATAATACTTTGCTAACACTTGCACACCGGCAGAGGCCAACATCTATCTATCTATCTATCTATCTATCTTGGTTTCTTTCTTTCTTTCTTTCTTTCTTTCTTTTCTTTCTTTCTTTCTTTCTTTCTTTCAATTCATCTATTATTTTCTTTTCTTTCTTTCTTTCTTTTTTCTTTTCTTTCTTTCTTTCTTTCTTTCTTTCTTTCTTTCTTTCTTTCTTTCTTTGTATCTATTCATCTATTATTGTCTTTTCTTTCTTTCTTTCTTTGTTCTTTTCTTTTCTTTCTTTCTTTCTTCTTTTCTTTTCTTTCTTTCTTTCTATCTATCCATCTATTATTTTCTTTTCTTTTTTCTTTTCTTTCTTTCTTTCTTTCTTTCTTTCTTTCTTTCTTTCTTTCTTAGTATCTAGTCATCTATTATTGTCTTTTCTTTCTTTCATTTTTCTTTTCTTTTCTTTCTTCTTTTCTTTCTTTCTTTTCTTTCTTTCTTTCTTTCTTTCTTAGTATCTATCTATCTATCTCGGTTTCTTTCTTTCTTTCTTTCTTTCTTTTTTTCTATCTATTCATCTATTATTGTTTTTTCTTTCTTTCATTTTTCTTTTCTTTCTTTCTCTCTTTCTTTCTCTCTTTCTTTCTTTCTTTCTTTCTTAGTATCTATCTATCTATCTATCTATCTATCTATCTATCTATCTCGGTTTCTTTCTTTCTTTCTTTCTATTATTTCAGTTTCTTTCTTGGTATCTATCTATCTATCTATCTATCTATCTATCAGATATATTTCAAATCGCATAAAAGCTACCTTTCTTTAATTTTTAAGATAGGATTACCCATGGAATGAATCAAATCGCTATAAATATGATTTCTCATGCATGGCCGAGTTTCATGGACATGTTCGACACGGGCGGGTATCTGACTCACTAAAAGCAGACACCATCGTAAACGGAGGCCGCTGAAAGTGGAAGTCACGGAAATAGAAGACGAAGAATACAACTAATTAACACGAGTTCCGTGTATTTTTTTTTCCAAAATCGAGATAGCTTAGAAAAATATAATGTTTTCCTGTTAACACGTTGGCTGCTAAACTCAAATCCATATCGGGACATGTATGCCGTGGGGCACTGTTTTTTTTTTTTTTTACATAATTTTTAAATGAATATCTTAGTAAATGAAAGTTGTTTTTTTTTGCTAATATTTTTTTTTTAGAAAATGTCAGCCAATGTTTATTCCTAATCTCAGAAGCCATGTCACCAACTAGTAATGGCAGCTACTTCCTTATGCACATTATCTTCTTTTTCATATTTACAAATTATATATATATATATATATATATATATATATATATATATGAAAACATATAGAAAATAGGAAAGAACTCGTTAGGTAAATAATTCAAAGTTCTTTAGTATTTTTGTTATTATTTAAAAAAAATAGTGCTCGATACAAAAGTAGAGCATAAATATAATTATTTATTTAAAAATATGATTCCAACACGCTACATAAGAGGTCTCATGTTTCAAAACAACAGCCGAAAACTTCAATATAATTATTTGAATTAAATTGAATTAAAGTAAGCTCTGTTCCATCTTCAAGCGAAATTTTTTTTTTGAATAACTTATTTCTGAAATTAACGTGTTTTAAAAGCATATTCATTATTGAAATCAAAATTTCCATGGTAACGGCCAGAGCGATTGTTTAAATAGGAAGGGGTGTAGGGTGTTAATAATTTGTATCAGTATAGAGTTACATTCATAGATGTGTATATATATATATATATATATATATATATATATACGACCCCGAAAAAATAAAATTCGGTCGAGCAATTTAGAGGGAAAGCGCGAATTTGGAAACAGTGACTGTTACTGCTGATAAAGCAAATCTCTTCTATGAATCGAGCACTCTGAGCCACTGGCTTGTTTATTCAAAAATAAATACGTAAAAATTAACCTTCCTCTCTGCCGGGAGATGTTAGCTTAGAGGAAAAAATCTCCGACTGATGCCAAATTAGTCTGGTTTCGATCCTGGCTTGATGCAATCGGATGTCTAGCCACACTGATGAGCTGTGATATATCGAAACAGTCTGTATGTGGATGACAATATATATATATATATATATATATATATATATATATATATATATATATATATATATATATATATATATTATGTGATTCGCAGACAGTACTGTTTCGTTGTATCACAGCTCCTCAGTGCGGCTAGACATCCGAAAACTTCAAGCACGGATCGAAACCCAAACGATCAGTCAGAGTTTATAGACCAGAACCTTTTGCCACCCTATCGTATATAAATAATGTTTTTGCTTTTATTTTTAATTTTCAACTAACCCTAATTTTTTTTTTTTAGCAAGAGGAAAAAAATGATACGTTAGATTATCCTGGACGTAGAATTTACCATAGAAGATACAGAAATTAGTGTACTTTCAAAAGGTTTTCCTCTTACTAGGCCCATACTACGTACTAACCCAATAAGAACCGCATTTGATAATAATTTATCTAAACTTAATTCAGGATTTGTTTTAAATCCATAACAAAAACAATAAGTGATTTTAACAACAGAATACAAAATAATAACACCCCTGAAGATGGTTCATATTCTTTTATTATGCCATAGCATTGTTGCTGTCATCAATTGTTTGTGATATGTGTAGATGGTGGCAAAGTCTATCCATACAGAGGTTACCGGGTTGGCAGTTTTCTGGTTGCTGTTCCCGACTGGTAGTTAGGACTCTTGCGTAGTGTCTTGAGAGGCTGCTCTGATCAACAGTCGCATAATATCGGCGTTCTTGCAGTGCCATATCGCGCATGGGAGGGTGTTCCTGCAAGCTCCACCGTTGAGCAACCTCGAGGCCACACTATGTTGCAGTCTGTGCCAGTTCCCTTCCTGCACACGTTACATTAAACGACCGCCTGCTACTACTACCCGAGGTCTTTCCTTATCAAAATAACACACTATAACTATAAGTAACTAACGATATAAAACTAAACCAGCTCAAAAAAAATCGCCTAAACCCCTTAACCTCTCTTTCTCTAACATTCGAGGTACCAACTTCTGCAGTGTAGAATCGTTCCTCTTCGAAAAGTCTCTGGACAACCAAGCGAAACTAATCTTAACTCTTCAATCCCTTCCTCTGATTTCTTCATTCCTGGCTATCATCCTCTCCTTAGAAAATTAAATGCTGGAAAATTGCTTCATTAATCCAGGGTGAAAATGCTTTTTCAATTGGATGAATAGAGAAAAAGTTATATGCGACGTCTTCGTCCCCTCCTCTTTGGGATTTCTTTAAATATTTAGTGCGGCTAAAAAAGCAGAAGATTAGCTCTCTTTCCATTTTTAATTGGAGGAATAGAGAAAAAGTTAGATGCTACTTTGTCCACCCTCGTTTTTGTGTTTTCTTTAAATATTTAGGGAGGCTAAAAGTTGGGGATCAGCTATATACCTCTCGTTTTTACAATTTTTATTTTCTATGGTATGTTTTTCAAATTGATATTAAATGCTGGTAAATTTCTTCATTAATCCATAGTGAAAATAATTTTTCAATTGGTTGAATAGACTAAAAGTTATATTCGATCTTGTCGCCCCTCGTCTTTGTGTGTTTTTTTTAATATAAATTCTAATGTCCACACACATGGCCTGGGAGTTTATCTCCGGCTCGCTAGAGAAATCTCTCTTGGATCTCCAAACCATTCTTACATGTGTCTCCGTTTGTCTCTACTTAACTCAGTCAGCTGTCTCTTCTTTGTCTACCATTCTCCTTCTTCACATGACTGTTGGAAGCTAGAGAGTATTTATGATAATATAGACAAGGCCATCTTCCTACACCCGTTTGCAAATATATTTGTGTTCGATGTCTTTAATGCCCACCATACCAAGTGACTTAAACACTCTGAATGACCTCTCTGGTATCCAAACCCTGAATCACTCAATCTTTCATGCAAGTGGTGGACCTCCCCACGCGTTTTCCCAGTAAACCTGACGGACACTCTTACTGCTATATCTCTTTTTTTACCTCTATCCTTCATGTCATATTAAATATCACCTTCTGCTCCGCCACCAGCTAAAAACCGCCTAAACAGAATATCTTTCTGTTATCAACAAGCAGATTGGGTCTTCTTACGTGATTTTCTTCGTGATGTCTCGTCGGATTAAATTTTTAATCATCCTGTTAAAAAAATACACATCTGAGGTCTCCCCCTGGGTGAAAGTCGACATCGATGTTTTCATTCCAGCAATGAAATACCAAGTTAAAACGCGTTCATCTCATTGGTTCTAATTTGCAAGCTCGGCTGCTATATCCCACAGGAATCATTTCGTCCGGCTGTACCAGAGCGACACACCTGATTGCAATAGATCTACTTCTCGTAATGAGTAAAGTGTCTTCTCAAAGAAACGAAGTTACTGTTTCTTGATAGAATGAAACAACGTATATCTTGCAAGTTCGGTTCTAGAGATTATTGGTGGCTCTGCAAGAATGTGCTGAACAATACCAAATCCTCAATCCCTTCCCTGCTCAATCAATTCGGTGTCCTGACATCTACAGCAGATAAGGTTGAATGCTTTGCTCGGAAATTCTCTTCCAACTCAACACTCGACTCATTTGGAGTACCCACACCTGATTTCCCACACCCCGTGAACAGAGGCTCTACTGTGTGATGTGCACATAACCCTGCCACTGGTCTGGGGCATCATTTCTAAATTAGACCCCCATAAGACAAGCGGTGGTGACGAGATCACAGCCATTGTCCTAACGAAATGTGCTCCCGAGCTGGCTGCAATTCTCTTCAAACTCTACAACTATTTGTCTCGCTGCTTCCTGCTTTCTAGCTTGTTGGAAGTCCTCCTCTGTATTTCCTGTTTTTAAGAACACTACAGAATCTTCTGACCCCTCAAACAATCGCCCTATTAGTCACTTTCCGATTTTCGGCAAAGTATTCGAGGTTTTAATCAATGCTGAATTGGTTAAGCATCTTACCTCTCACTATCTACTCTCTGAAAGACAATATGGCTTCCATGTTGCCAGGTTTACCGCTGATGTACCAATGGCCATCAGTGACTATGTATAATGGTGAAGCTCGAGCTGTGGAGATATCTCGAAGGCGTTTGACAGTAAGCTAAAGGGCTCCGGTATTACATGATGATTGCTTGATTTAATCCACTCCTTCCTATTAAATCGTGAAAAGAAGGTCGTTTTTAACGGGATCGCTTCCAGATCCTTTCACACGAACGCAGGTGACCCGAAGATTCTATCCTGGGTCCTACGCTGTTTCAGATCTTTATCAATAATTCTCTTGAAGTCATCAGTTCCTAAGTAGGCATTTATGAGGATGACACTACCATTTACTCTTGTCGCTATAGCAAATCCGTCAGAACTATCAAAGTTAACCTGGTCGCTGCTCTTGAAAAGAACCTACAATCAATGGTTAACTGAGACAGGAAATGGCTTGTAAATTTTCATGCCTCCAAAACGAAACTGCTCTCATTTAACCACCATAGAGAAACTTTCTTGCTTGCCATCAGCATGGCTGATGCTAGACTCATGGAGAGCAAAACACTGCGCCTTCTTGGCCTCATGTTTTCAACTGACTTGATGTGGAATGACTACATCGAATCAATAACTGCGTCTATTGCAAGGAAATTTGGGCCGCTGTCGTGTCAGAAGGTTTTTCACTTCAGAATCCATCTTGCTTATTTACAAATTTACCATTCATCTGTGCATTGAATACTGTTGTCATATCTGGTCTGGTATTCCTACTGTTCATCTCGAGGTTCTTGACAAAATCCAAAGAAAGAT